CCTTTCTTCCCCTCTCTCCAAGAAGACCTGGATTACCCTAGCATGTAGCAACAAAATAAAAGAGTAAATAAAAGACCAACAAAGAAACATCACCTGATACAAGGAAACTATCATCAGTTTTCTATACCTGAGGTCCTGGGTTTCCTGGAGGCCCAGTACCAGGTTTAGGTTCTCCTTTATCCCCTGGAATACCAGGAAAGCCAGGTGGGCCTGCTACACCTGGAGATCCAGGCAAACCTGAAGAACCTTCCTGCCCTTTAGGACCTGAAATGACATAACATTGAAATGCTTTTTTTTACTTTTTCACTTTGATTTATTTGAAGTTTCAGTGAAGGTCCCAACGATCCAATCATTTAATGCAAATATTAAATGAGATATGTGTTCTGATCTGATCCTTAAATATAAATTCTTTTATCTGTCAAGCCCCATGTGAAGCTACTGCCACTCTTGTTGTTGTTGTTGTTGTTATAGAATATAACATCAACATCTTGAAAGCATGTCAGGGCTTTCCTCTCCCCTTATCCCAAACAGAATTCATCTGGGGTTATTCTGAATTTCCTTTCTTCTTCTTTCCCATGACTAATTTGATATTTATGTCCTTGAATTTCTTCAAGTTTACCTCTATACACCTCTACAACTTGTTAATGAAAATAAAGTTGTACCCAAATTGCTATTAATATAGCTAATTCTTGCTCTTACAGTATCAGTCATTCCAATCATTATTCTACACTAAATCACAAGTGCAATGGATCAATAGGAGGAGAATGTTCATTAAGGCAAATTGTCTGTTAAATCCAAATATGATTTTATGCATGGGTATTTTACATTTGTTATGTATTTTATTTAATTGTAAAATGGGAGTAGAATTACACATGTGTGCATTATACATATTTTCTGTATTTTGCACATGCATAAAATGTGAGTGGGATTTTTACATATATTGAATATACAGTCTATGGATAGTCTTGTACCCAAAGCCTCCTAAGCTAAGTTTTACTGTATTAGTATTACTATAATGATAATTTAGATACTTTAACAAGATTACCTTGCATTCCCATGTCTCCTCTGTCTCCTGGAACTCCTGGCAATCCATATATTCCAGGAATTCCTGAAAGTCCCTTAGCTCCTTTAGCTCCTAAAAAAATAATTAATGTTGAAATTAATTTTATAGAATTAAAACGTTATTGACAAATCTTTATCAAAGTCATTACTGTGTCTTTCAGAATATTTCTGATAAGAAAAAAACTGTAGTCCTCAATTGTTTTTTCTTCTATTGCTTCTGCTTCTTCCAGTTTCTCTTCACTGACTTTATTATTCTAAGAACAATTGCTACCTCTGGAAAATAATAATAATGAGATATTGGGAGAAGTCTGATAATTCAGACATTTGAATTAATATTTGTTTCAAGTTAATATTATTCATAAGCAGATTGCTCCTTTTTATTAACTTCCCCATTTATCTACAGGAGGCACATATGTATTCATTGATGACTATCTGTACATTATACCAAACCATTGCACAAACACACATAGAGTCCCAGAGAAACAGTGTTGATTAGCTCTTGGTTTAACATGATTGACTGAATAACAGAAATATCTAGCTAGTATAATCTGAGAATCAAAGGAAACCTACCTGGTGGCCGTAGAGTACCTGGTGGTCCAACAGGACCCACATATCCTTGCACACCTTGCTGACCTTTTTCTCCCTTGAGTCCTGTTCTTCCAGGAGGTCCTACAGTGGCAATCAATAGAATTAAATAAAAAAAGTATCTTCTTGCTTTAGAATAGAAAGAAAAGAAAAGGTTGACATGAAATGGTAAATTTGTAGTATAATCTGCTACATTTGTGTAACTATTTGCATTTTAATAATGATTGCATCCATACATTATAATATCCATAATTTGCTTATTTTATTCTAATACATTGTATGAACTTAGCTACTGAGGTTCATAAAATATTATTTACAATGTTGGCTTACTCAATAAACTGTGGTGAAATAAGTATATGTGAATCAAGCTATATCTACTCAAAACTCAAATAATAATCTTCACTTGTAATAAACTTCATAATATGTGAAAACGTTGTTCAGAGTAGTAGTCTAAGATGGAAGCCATACAATCTTTTGAATAAAAAAATAAATAAATGGAACTATATAATCCATCTCTGTCATATAGATTCAAAATGTATCCTTTTCTTTGGAAAGTGGATCCATAATGATGAAATTCCCAGTGCAAAGAGTGGTAGGATGACATTTAGCCTTTCCTGTTCCACTACTTTATAGATCTGAAGGGGGGGAAAGTGTAGTTGCAAGTCTTGGGAAGTGAAGATAATGGATTAAATACCTTTTTGGACAATGCTGGTTCTATTTTGTAAAAAGCAACAACTAGCCACTTGTAGAATATAGTGAAGGCAGAATCATGAAAACCTGCAGAATATGTATCATAGTGATAGTATTGCTTTATACCTTTACTTCCTCTCTCTCCTTTATCTCCGTAGATCTCTTTAGATTCTGATAGCCCAGGAGGACCTTTATCACCTAGTTCACCCTTTTCTCCTAAAGTTCCTTTCATTCCTCTTGGTCCTGGAAAGCCTGGAGAACCTGGAAATAACAAATAAAATAGGATGAAAAAAAATTGCCATCAGATTCAAATGCTAAATGAGACTGAGAGATTCTCAGGAAGCATAGAATATGGAGTTAGGTATTTAAACATTGAGTCCAATCTCCTGGACAGTTCAAAAATCTGTACTTGAATATATTTATGTACATTTCAAAATACAGGTTGACAGATGAAAAACCCTGGTAGTGGTATATTATTATTCTCTATAATTTAAACTTCATACATCATTCATTCATCCATTCATTTTCAAGTTGAAGCTTTTCCATTTACATCTAAAACTAGAAAAAATTAGGCCATCAGATTTGTGTTTTCAGTTTTGGGAACAGTATTGGTTTCACTCCTAAATATTTAATGACAAAAACAGTCTTGTTCCTTTTGCTTGTTTCCAGAGATTTCATAGGTGCCATTTATTGATTTAATTTTCAAACAATTATATTAGAGGAAATAGAAAGGAAATTTGGAATATTCATAATGGCCTTGTTATCTTATATTGAAAGCATTCTCTTTTTTTTACCTCTTTGTGCTATATTTTTTTAATTTCATTGGTTATTTTATACCCCATGCTTCTACATACAGAAATAGATATACAAATAAAAGCAATAGGACTATTATTATTATTATTATTATTATTATTATTATTATTATTATTATTATTATTATTATTATTATTATTATTATTATTATTAAACAAAAGGCTTGACTGAAGATAATCTTGTCGTCCCCCCCCCCCCAATCAGGGAGCAAATAGGAAGGAAAGTAAATTCCCAAGAGTGCATCATCCATTCTCCTTCTCTGTTTCCTAGGGGTAACGTAAATGCTCTCAAAAACCTGGAAAGCTTCTAAGGACAACAGAGAAATGAAAAGCTACTTGCAACCAATTATCTACTTTGTAGGCCCAGTTTTCATGCCAAAAAAATCCCCCACATTTCACATTTCTATGCACAGGGGCTACTAGAGAAATGACATGAGAATTAAGCTGAAATGAAACTAGTTAATTAAACTACTATGGTGATGGAAAACAAGTATGATTCTACTCACAGTTCTTAGAATGACTCCTGTCTGCCTTTTGTCAGTTCAAATAGAATGGACTATGGAGTAATATTTTACAACCAGGTAAGGCAAACACTGCACAACTTACCTCTGCCTCCAGGGATTCCTGGTTTTCCAGAGGCACCAGGCAATCCAGGGCTACCTACGTGTCCCATCAAACCTCTTTCTCCTCTGAAACCTGTCAGAAGTGAACCAAACACATCCATAGATATAAGAGGTATTACCCAGATACTCAAAGGCATTGCATGACCTTTGAAAGAAACTTCAAAAATAACCCCATCATTTGCCCATATGATAATAATATAACATGATCTTTATTAAATGGCAATGAATACTGTTATGTATTAAGCAATTCATAAGGTCTGTTATAAAAATTTATTATTATTATTATTAAATTAAATTTATATCCCGCCCTTCTCCTTGCGGACTCAGGGCGGCTAACAATCGATTAAAAATACACAAATAACAATTACAGGATTAAAATTAATTAAAAGGAAATATTTAAGTATGGTCTAATTAAAATATAATTAAAACCCCCTCTAAAAATTACCCTAGGCCAGTCCTGCAAGCTGGA